CCTTGTCAACTTGAATATGTTTTTCTTTTTTCAGGTAAACGGTTATTTTATGTGTTTCTATCAACGTTTGGTTTTATTTCGATATTTTTATTTGTTTTTTTCATTTTAAACAATTATTCTATTATTGATATTGCAGAATTTTATAAAAGTGTATAGGAACCGTATTCGGTATCTTTTTATTATTTTTGTTTTGTTTTTGTAAGAATGATTGGGTGTTGTTCAGTTGGATTATTGTATTTTGTTAGATTTAAAAGAAATGCATGAAAAAATATTTGACTTTAATACAACAGATTTAGGCAAACTAGATAAGATAATTGCAAGGATTATCTACACTTTAGGTTTATAATCTCAAATTTGTCTTGAATGAAATCGATGATGAATCGGTAAAAATTATTGATTGTTATCATAATCGCTTGTCATATTTGAAATATGTTATTGTCATTAATACAAAAAAAACACAATTTAACACTTCAAATATTGGAATAACGTCAAATATTATTTCCCAGACTTCTATCTCACTATAAACTTTCATATTTGACGCGATATTTATCGACACGCAATAATCATCCTCGTCATGTTTTAGTTTTTGCTACTGATGAATGATTTAATTACGGATTATTTAACCGTAATTGATATAACATTGAACACCATTCCAATTCGGATACATCTGTTTTTTATTGTAATTTTTCCGATGTATAATTTCATGGTGCATGTTTGCAATTTTCCATTTAATTGATTTGATGATTCAGTAACACGATTCAACTTGGATGTACTGAATAAAAGATTTAAATACTTCATTTAAATATTCTATCTACAATTTTAATTTATCAATCACATATTTGACAGCAGACTTGATCTATCAGTATTTGACGATATACCATTGCATCGTTGTCATTTTGCTTCATCTTCCTGTCTTTTATCCTGGTCATGTCAGTTTGCATCATTATATCTCGGGAAAATGAATGGTATAAACAAAAAGAACCTGAATAGGACACCAATGAACAACACGAAACAATAAGCAATTGTATCTCTAATGTTGAATTTGGTTAGACAATTAGAATATACATCCATCTATTTGAAATGTATTTCCAACTACAGTGTTTATTTATATATTTTATATTTACTTTTATACATGTTAGCTTTTCTTGTATCAGACTTAAGCATTCAGGTAGTTTTTTTGAGTAAGTGATCAAAGATTGTTTTTGTATTTCTACTAATTTTATTTAATTGCGTTCTAGATAAGAAAAATAATGGTTAGAACATCACTCATTCGATATGTCAGTAAAAACTTCATTTTCAAAAACTTGACATCAATAAAATGTCCTTTTTTAGGCAAATATTGGTTTTATCGGAACAGGAAATATGGGAAAATTTATGGCAACAAATTTAATTAATGCCGGACATCATTTGAAAATTTTTGATAGTAATAAACAATGCCTCGTACAATTTCAAGGAAAAAGTTTGTTTCCATATTTTTCAACACTGATATTAGATATTTGTTTGTTGTATTTGTTCAAGGTAATGCAAAATGTGTCGAAACTCCGGCTGATACTGTAAAAGACTCAAATTTTGTTATAACGATGCTACCTATTGGAAAAATTGTGCGTGATGTATGCACAGGGAACAATTCAGTCTTTGGGTACGTACAAGATAAAGAATTTCTTTTTATTCTAGTATCTGTAAAATACACTACTGTTAGTACACTGGTTTTTTTTCTGTTAGATATAGCTGTTAAAAAAACGTTCTGTTGCTATTGCATGAGAACAATCTTAAATTATTTGAACAATAATATCAGTTTCTTTACTTCGCAAAAGAAATATTTTTTTCATGAAAAAGTTATTTATGTAATTTTACCTAACATCTAGACGTTAGAGTTTCTTTTTAGTGCTGCTAAACCAGGCACCTACGTAATTGATTGCAGTACTATTGACGTAGCAACATCACAGAAATTAGCTGAAATAGCTGAAAAGAAAGACATACATTTTGTAGATGCACCCGTATCCGGTGGTAAGAAGCATCTTTTTATAATTTTTCTTCTTATAGAACCATATCATATATATTCTTTTGCTTTTTAGGTGTTACCGGAGCAGGTAAAAAATTAGTATGTGTTCCGTTGAAAAAAATCATGCATTTTCTTTTGTAGAAAAAGCAACTTTAACATTCATGGTAGGTGCTAAAACTTCGAATGATTTTGAAAAAGTGAAAGAAATTTTATCTGTGATGGGAAAAAATATTGTACATGCTGGAACAAATGGAAATGGACTAGCAGCAAAAATCGCTAATAATATGCTATTGGCAATAAGGTAGATTAGAGTGAGTTTTTCTATGTTGTTACTGTATCATTATTTATATTTTAGTATGATCGCAACTGCGGAAGCTATGAATCTCGGAATAAAGTACGTTCAATCATATTACAATTTATTCAACAAACATATACTCGTCCTTTTTTAGACTTGGTCTAGATAAAAATGTTCTCACAAAACTAATAAATTCATCATCGGGAAGATGTTGGTCGAGTGAAATGTATAATCCAGTTCCTGGCATTATGCCTACAGGAGCAGCCAGTAATGACTATAATGGAGGATTTGCGTGCGAATTAATGCAAAAGGTATTTTGTTTTCTTGAAATTTGTTTAATTTTTATTTTGTTTCTTTTTTTTTCATTTATAAGGATATTTCGTTGGCGTTAGACGCTGCAAACGACATCAAAGTTAATATACCGTTAGGAGAACATGCAAGTAAAATTTATAATAACTTAACGAAATGTGGCTTCGCTAAAAAAGATTTTAGTGTTATATACAAATATCTGAACGAAAATCCAAAAGCATGAACAAATTGTCCGATACTATACAACGGTGATATACAAAACGGTTTCATTCTATCCCTTTTAACTTTAACGTTGTATTTTTTAATCGTTTGATTTATTTATTTATAACCTTTTCATAAATAAACGTCTAACGAAAATTTAGATAGTCTATCGCAACCAATTATACATTTGGAGTTCAAATGTTGTCTTCTGTTTAATGTAACCAGGTATCTTCGCAAGCAGAAGATTCAATATTCTCTGAACATAGTAAACTAGTAACATATTAAAAATTCCTCTTTTATGTTCAATATTGACCATCTAACATCTCTCTATCTTACATGATGAGAATAAAGTGTTCAAATTTGTTTCATTTTTCTCGCAAAGTCAAATATAAATATAATAATCAGAGCAAAACAGTAGCCAAAAATCGAAAAACAATCCAATATTCAATAAATTCTTTAAGCTGTTATCGTTGTGTCCGGTCAAAGTAAGTTTATTTTCAAATAAAAGAAAAAAACACAAGGAGAAAGTGAACAGCTTTTTTCCTCTCACACATATTACCAGAGCAATGAAACAAAAAAAAGAAAACGTTAATAATATTTAATAAACACAAAGGATAGGGGGAAGGAATAGCATCAAGAAAACGGACTCAAACACCGGCCACGAAAAAAAAAACAGTAAACACTCACAAATAAATTTTGGAAAGAACAAAAAACAAACAGAACCGAAACAAAAACACGCATAAGGAATGTAAAGTATTTTTCTTGTACGCATTAAACCATCCTTCTGATATGAGTCTGTATTTATGTGTGTAAGGATGTGTGTGTGCGTGTGTGTGTGTGTAAGAGTGTGAGGATGACTTAGTGAATAAAAAAAAACGAACGATTGAGATGTGTATAGCTATCTTGCTATCGAGGTAGCTTTTAAATTGACAAAAAAATAGGACGGAGAAATTAAAAAAAGAATTATACTTCAATAACTTCAATAACAGTGTTTATTTTAGATAAAAGAAAGTTTTTCGCTGTGAAATAAAGAAAGCAGTAACAAATAAACGAAAAAAAACACATTCACCGGATTTTATATTGGAAGTTCGACCGATTCATACAAATACGACGAGAGATAGAAAGCAAAAAAGACGTAGGGTTAAGAGAAACTTAAACGGTATTTATCAGTGTTTATTTT